CGCCTGGCCATCCGCTACATCGGCCACCTGTCGGCCGTGCTGGGCCTCAGCGAGGACGGCCTGCGGCGCCGGCGTCCGCGACGCTGCGACGAGACGCCCCCTCGGGGCTGCCCGCTCTGCCCCGACGGCGGTTCCGCGCAGGCGCAGACCCCGACGCCGACGCAGGCGCGCGGCCAGATCTTGGGCTTCGCGGTCCCCGCGGCGGGGTCTTGGGGGTCCCCGCCTCCCTGTCTAGGAGTCCCAGCAGCGCCCGAATGCTTGGGAAGCAGGGTCCCCGACGTGGGTCCTTGGGTCTCACCCCCTTACTGTTCCGGGACGCAGTCGCTTCCGCAAGTGTCCCCACGTAGGGCCCCCGATGCGGCCCTTTGGACGCCGCCCGAAGCCGGTTCCGGAACGCAGACACCCGGAGTGCCCGGGACCCCGGCCACGCCCTGGGCGCCGCCCCCCGCCGCCCCGGAGCCCGCTGCAGCGTACCAGGTACCGTGCCCAGGCTGCAGTTGGAAATGGACGGGGTGGGTAGGCTCTAGTCTGCAGTAGATTCTATACTTTTAAGATCCCGATTATCCGATCCCACCCAGGTTAGGGGTGGAGAGAAGCTGAAGGGGAGATGGAGAGGGCGCTGACCCCTTGGGGAAAGAGGTGGGGCCCTCGCAGTTAAGGCCACCAACACCTAGAAGTCCTCACTCAGACTTGCTTCTTCCACCCTGGCCTCTGGAGTGGCAGGAGCCATGTACCAAGGTGCTCCATTAGGAGTACGGAGGGAAGCCCCGCATCTCCAGGATTAGGGGCTTTCCTGATTGATGGTGACTTTTATGTTTCCTTCAGGCTTCATTCATTCATGAGGCCCATGAATCATGGTCCATAAAATAGCATATTCATAACCAAAATGTATTACTGTGCATGAATTGACTCATTCTGCCCTGCATCAGCCCTATGAAGTAGGTGTCATCATCCCAATTTACAGAGGGGAAAACTGAGACTAGAAGAGGTTATCTTTGTTATCTGGTGAATAGCAGAGCTGGGATTCAAACCCTGGCAATGTACCTGCAGAGTGGACACTTTTTTTAAAAAAATATATTTTATTGATTTTCTACAGAGAGGAAGGGAGAGAGAGATAGTTAGAAACATCGATGAGAGAGAAACATCGATCAGCTGCCTCCTGCACATCTACTGGGGATGTGCCCGCAACCCAGGTACATGCCCTTGACCGGAATCGAACCTGGGACCTTTCAGTCCGAACACCGACGCTCTATCCATTGAGCCAAACCGGTTTCGGCAGAGCGGACACTCTTAACCACTTTGCTTCACTGCATCCAGGATGCCAGGGCTGTTCGGGAGCTGCCTGCCACACTCTGAGGAGCATCCAGGTTCGAGATCTCAGGGCATCAGGCAGTAGCCCACTAACCAGCTGCTCTTGTCTCTCTTGCAGGGTATCTGTGTGTCTCCGGAGTCCTATCTGCTGCCAGAAACCCCACCCCTCCTGCCCGGCCCAGCATGCCAGAGACTGCAGCCTCAGACCCAGTGGGGATACTGGAGCCACAGTGCAGAGGTGCTCCCCAGCTCGGAGTACCAGGGACCAGGCCCCACCTTCCATTTCAGTGATGAAAGCCCTCTCCAGAGCTCAGGCCTGCAGCTCAGTGGCTGCCCTGAACTTTGGCAAGAAGACTTGGAGGGGGGCCACCTGAGCATCTTCTACTAATGGCCCTGCCTGGCCCTGTTCAGCTAGGAATCAGGTCTGTAGTGTGGGCGCCCGCATTTGCGAGGTCAGTGGTTTTCAGACTTTCCTTTAGTCCAGGATCCCTTTTCCAAGTGACGCCTTTCGTGGAAGCAGTGTTTGGTGGCCTCCCTGGCTGGCGTGGGGGCTGGGGCAGTGCCCTCTGCTCCTAGGCACCCCCCAAAATGACCAGTGCCCTGAAGAGCACAGCCAGAGCTGCAGAAACATGGGGGCTGCTTGACCACCAACTTGGCAGGGCTGGGACTGACGGGGGGATGTATTGGGGGAGTGGGGTGGGCTGAGGGCAGACCCCTATATACTTTGTGTTTAAAGAAACACAACACAGCGCTAGCTGGTTTGGCTCAATGCATAGAGCGTCGGCCTGTGGACCAAAGGGTCCCGGGTTCGATTCCAGTCAAGGGCACATACCTCGGTTTCAGGCTCCTCTCTGGCTCTGGTCAGTGCACACGCAGGAGGCAACCAATCTGTATCTTTCTCTCACATCAACATTTCTCTCTCTCTAAAAAAAAAGTCAATGGAAAAAATATCCTCGGGTGAGGATTAAAATGTAAATAAATTTTTTTTAAAAGTTGCTTTGTTCTGTGTTTATCGACTTGACTTTTTATGGCCTCTGGGAAAGGGGAAATGTTCCCATCCTGTGGGGAACAAGTCATGCCCGACCAATGCTGATGTGGGCCCTCATGATGTTTGCCGATTATCCAATCTGGCCGATCTGACCATGTTTGTTGCGCAAGGTCTCTACCTGGCCTGCTGTGCAAGGTGGCAGAGCGGGTTGCCACATAGACCTGTTCACTTGCACCAGCCCGATGCCCCTTTCCATTTTCCTGGGGGACATTCCTGCTGACAATTATATGAAATTGTTTTCAAAGGATGCCTGTGAGTGGACCCCAGGGACTCGGCTAGTGCATTAGTGGGCTCAGGTTGCCCTGACAGAATACCACAGATTGAGTAGCTAAACAACCAGAATTTGTTTTCTCGCAGTTGTAGAGGCTAGAACTCCAAGATCAACGTGTCAGCAGGTTTGGTTTCTTTGAGGCCTCCCTTCTTGGCTTGCAGACGGCCACCTTCTCACTGTGTCCTCACATGGTCACCCCTTGGTCTGTGTGTCTATCTTAATCTCTTCCTCTAAGGTCACCAGTCATAGGGGATTAGGGCCCACGCATCTGACCTTAATTACCTCTTTACGGGCTCTCTGAACCCCAAGCCGGGTGTGGATGTCAAGGCCCTGACTCCCCACCCAGTGCTCTCTCCTTCCCAAGAAAACCCAAGGCCTTGGCTCCAGTCTCAGGGCATCTGCCCCGAAGGCAGAACTGAACACCTGCCTGTGTCCTTCCTTTGGCTCCCACCCATCTGGGGTTCACCTTAAAGAGATAGAGAGAAGTATCCCTGGCCCAGTGCCACGCCTCCCTCCCCCCAGCTCTGAAGCCCTGCCAGGGCTGGCATAGAGCACAAGAGTCCTGGCCTTTAGCAGCAGCAGCCAGAGCGGCGTGTCTTCTAGAACTTGGCAGCTCTGCTTTCCCAGGCTCCCTCAAGAGGTGTTCCTCTAGGACAGCGGTTCTCAACCTGTGGGTCGCGACCCCTTTGGCGGTCGAACGACCCTTTCACAGGGGTCGCCTAAGACCATCCTGCATATCAGATATTTACATGACGATTCAGAACAGTAGCAACATTACAGTTATGAAGTAGCCACGAAAATAATGTTATGGTTGGGGGGTCACAACATGAGGAACTGTATTTAAAGGGCCAGAAGGTTGAGAACCACTGCTCTAGGAGGTGCCAAGGCAGAGGCAAGAGGCTGCCACCACACCGGCTGGAGTTGCCTGAGAGACATCCTAGATCAGTGATGGCGAACCTATGACACGCGTGTCAGAGGTGACACGCGAACTCATTTTTTTGGTTGATTTTTCTTTGTTAAATGGCATTTAAATATATAAAATAAATATCAAAAATATAAGTCTTTGTTTTACTATGGTTGCAAAGATCAACAAATTTCTATATGTGACACAGCCCCAGAGTTAAGTTAGGGTTTTTCAAAATGCTGACACGCCGAGCTCAAAAGGTTCTCCATCACTGTCCTAGATGCTGCTGGAGTCGGGAGCAGGGCCCAGGGGGATGGGGCTAATCCCACCCCTGTCCTCACCCTCTGGGGGGAAGCTCTTGGGAATAGCAGCCCCTGGCCCCATCCGTCCGGTCTGTGGCTCCATCCCAGGCCAGCTGCTCTCGGCTGCACCTCTGCTAAGTGAGGGCAGGGGAGGAGGTGCCGATGCCAGTGCCCAGCCTGGGGTGGTCTACCCTCACCTTCCTGGGGATCCCAGTCAGCATCTGTGCGGCTGGGCCTTGGCTGAGTGCCTCATCTAGGCCTTTCAGTGACCCCACAGTGTAGAGAAGGACATGCCTCCCCGATGGTGGGGAGGCGGGAGGGGACACTGTGCCCCGGCTGCTTCCTGCGGACCCTCAGATCCTGCCTTCCCCCGGGGCCTCGAGCCCTAGACAGACAGGGACTGAGCAGTCTGGGTGCTAGTGGGCTCCTGCTCTGTGTGTGACCTTGAACGAGGTTCTGCAGGCAGGTCTCGCTCTGTCCTTGCTGCAGCCCGGGAACTGGTTCCCTCCAGCCACACAGGGCCATGTGAATGCCAGCGAAGGGAGTTGTCAGGTGGCCCTGCCTGAGCATGTGGGGTGTGGCTGTCATAGACCCTGCCTCAGCACTACTCACGCAGGAGCAGGGGGCCTCCTTCCAGCTCCACTGAGTTGTGACTTAACCTCCCAGAGCCTCTTTCCTTATCGGCAAAACCTAGATAAACACTGTGCTTATCTCCTCCTGGGACCAGTGAGAACGAAATGAGAGAATGCGCATAAGGGCTGAGCCCAGTGCCAGGCACACAGGCTAGGATCCTTGCTGACTCTTCTCCCTGGTGACCCCTCCCCCAATGGGGACCCCCCAGGGGCCCCGAGCTCTGGTCCCTGAAGGTCAAGTGCCAGCCGCTGCTGCTGGGCGCTGGCGACAGGAAGGGCTGGCCCAGAGGGGACCTGGTTAGTGGAGGGACCCCACCCCACCCCGGCTGGCCCCGCCCCACTCTTTGATGTGCGGGCACCAGTGGAGCACAGGGGAGCCTGTGAGGGGAGAGGGTCTTGAACCCAGAGACAGGTCTAGGACCATCGTAACAGCCACTTCCTCTTACCTGTCAGCCCAGTGGTCAGTACACAGACTCCTTCCATCCACACACCGACCCTAGGGTCAGTCTTCGCCTTTGCGCAGATGAAGAAACCAAAGACCCGGGTTTTGGTCACTTGTCCGGGACACAGGGGCTGACATATCTGAAACCAGGCCTCTGGGCTCCCAGGCCCCAGCAGCTGGAGCCCTGCAGGCCTTCAGTCTGTGACTCCCTCTCTGCCTCCCACCGCCCCGCATGCTCAGCTGGGCCTTGTGGGGCTGAGGCCCAGGAGAGCTTCCTACCACCTAGCTCAGTGGTCCCCAACCTTCTCTGGCCACGCCCCACCTAAGCATCTCTAACATCCTGATGCCTCCCACCCTGTGACATAGAATTCTTTTTTTTTTTTTTTAATGTATTTTATTGATTTTTTTACAGAGAGGAAGGGAGAGAGAGATAGAGTTAGAAACATCGATGAGAGAGAAACATCAACCAGCTGCCTCCTGCACATCTCCTACTGGGGATGTGCCCGCAACCCAGATACATGCCCCTGACCGGAATCGAACCTGGGACCCTTCAGTCCGCAGGCCGACGCTCTATCCACTGAGCCAAACCGGTTTCGGCTAGAATTCTTTTTTTAAAAAATATATTTTTATTGATTTCAGAGAGGAAGGGAGAGGGAGAGATAGAAACATCCATGATGAGAGAGAATCATGGATCGGCTGCCTCCTGCAAATCCTCCACTGGGGATGGAGCCCGCAACCCGGGACATAGAATTCTTATTATTCAAAAAGTGAGCTCCTATTCACGTGGAGGAAGCCTCAAAGGCCATGAACTTGGTCTAAACAAGCTTCCAAACAACATGGCATCCATGAGAGAGAGAAATAAAAGAACAAAAGGACAGTGGAAGGACTGAGGAAGAAATCACTAAGAAACGGTTAAAAAAAAATAGCAATATGAAGTGATATGAAGAAATAGCAAATAAAGTTTCAAAACATAGAATAGAGCCCTCGCCGGTTTTGCTCAGTGGATAGAGCATCGGCCTGCGAACTGAAAGGTCCCAGGTTCGATTCCGGTCAAGGGCACATGCCCAGGTTGTGGGCTCAATCCCCGGTGAGAGACTTGCAGGAGGCAGCCGACCCATGATTCTCTCTCATCGTGGATGTTTCTATCTCTCTCTCCCTCTTCCTTACTCTCTGAAATCAATAAAAAAAATTATATTTAAAAAAAACATAGAGAACTGAATTGCATAAATATACCACAATATACATTTATAGACTGTATAGGAGGCCCCTAGAACCAGAAGACATGCAAAAGATTCACTGTGAATAACTCATTCTCAAATTGCCCCCCTTAAACATCAAATTGCCCCCCTGTGGGGCGTGTGCCCCACGCTGGGAACCACTGACCTAGCTCTATTTGCCAAGAAATTTCCAGCAAGTCCAATGAGGACCGTGGAGCCCACAGGTCCCAGGCCTTGCCCTCAGTGGTGGCCATGGCCACCAGCTCCCCCAGGGGACAGGGGTACCTGCCGTTTTCAGCATGCTACTCTCCATAACAAGGTCACGAACTGACATCACACCACCCACAATGGACCCTGGGGAGGTGGCAGGACCGGCCCTTCCCCTCGCTGTCCCAGGTGTGCGGCTGCGGTGCAGAAAGAGGGACAATGGCAGGCCCCGCTCTGGCCGGCACCGGGCCCCGCTTTCCCCACCCCGCCCGCCATGGAACGCTCTGCCTGGGCCTGCCCTCTGCTCCCCAGGCCCCCCAGCACCCACAGTACTCAGTTAAAAGAAAACGCAGCAGACAGCGCCCACAAGTATTCTGTAGGAAGGCCCAGCTTTCCCCCCCCCCCCCCCCCCCGCCACCGCTTCCCTCCAGCCCAGGCTCCCCAGCTGCTGTGCGGACCCCTCCTGTTCTGAGTCTGGAAGTCATGAGTCTGGAAGCTCATCTAGAAATTCTTTATCTATATTTTCTCTTAGAAAAAAAATATACAGATCTGGTGTCCTGTGGAGTCTCCAGGTTCAGGGTCTTCATGGGAAGGTGAGAGAGGGCGCAGGCAGCTCCCCAAGGCCGACCCAAGTCCACGTAGGGCTTTGCTGCTCTGGCCCTGGAGCTGGGCCTCCCTGAGATCAGCCCCAGGGCCCTGGGCGACAGGAGCCATGCCAGGCCTGGGGTGCGGTTGGCACGAGGGGCGGGGGCTGGGAGGTGCTTGAACGGTCGGGCCGCCAGGAGCTGGACTGGCTCCACGGACAGAGCGGAGAGAACGTGGGCTAGGACGTCGTCCCTGAGGGAGGACGTGGGGCCTCAGGGTCCGGGAATGGGGG